AGAAAATAGCACAGTCAAAAGTTTTTAACATAGTATAGTCAGCACATTTACCACACCATTTTTCATGTGGAGTATCAACATTTAATGCAGTAGAAGGTGTCAAAATAATCAGATAACATGCAGTGATAACAGCTTCACCCCAAAACGATTTAGGAATTCCAGAACTCAACATCATACCTCTAACTTTGTCAAGTAAAGTACGATTCATACGTTCAGTCACCCCATTTTGTTGAGATGTATGAGGAACAATTTTATGTCTAGTAATTCCACATTTTTCACACAAATCATCAAAATCATTGTTATAGAACTCTTGGCCGTTATCAGTTCTTAGATATTTTATTTTTTTGCTAGTTTGAGTTTCAACTTGTAATTTTTATATTTTGAAAATTTTAAAGGTTTCAGTTTTATCCTTTAACAGATAAACCACGCCATACAAGAGTAATCATCAATTATGAACATAAAATATCTATCACTACCCATTGTAGGATTATTAGCAGGCACCCATAAATCAGTATGAATAATTTCCTAGACTTTAGTAGTTTTATGAGTACCAGATGAAAAAGATGACCTATGATGTTTACCAAGTACACAGTGATTACAAAAAGACATATTAGACACACAGTCTTTTTTAGATACACCTTTATCATTTAGCAGTTTAAGTCCTTTAATATGTAAACTAATCTATTGTGCCACTTGTGTGTGTCATCAGTGTTGGTCAAATTTATAGAGGAAGTTGAATTTTTAGCAATTTCAGCAGTGATCACATAAATACCATTTCTTTTAGTACCTTTACATGTGACAAGAACACCCTCAATCATTTTAAACATGTTGTTTTCAATTTTACCAATAAAATCATCAGTTTCTAATGCTCCTACTAAATAAGATTCCTAGCCATTACAGGAATATATAACTTCATATAATTTAAGCACATAACCAATGTCAAATTTTAACGTGATATCACCAATGTCAGCAATTTTATATGCATGATTATTGCACAAAATAGCATGAACATTTTCAGATTCTTGCATATTTTCAAACCAGTCTTTATGTGATGAAACATGAAATGATGAACCAGAATCAAGTATCCCTTTATTTAAATGTGATTTCATAGTCAAATTTATTTCAGTAGGTTCAAGGTTTAATAACACATATACTTCACAAAATTCATCAAAGGAAGTAATGACATTTGCCTTATCGTGAACCTTTTACTTTTGTTTGTTTTTCTCAACATAACAATATTTAATGAAGTATCCAGTTTTACTGCACCCATAACATTTTGTATCTTTAGTTTTACTTCTTGACCTAGATAAACTTCTATTTTTTCTTTTTATTACCAGACACGTATCCACTTTGGTTATCAAGGGTTCTAGATTGAGACCTACCTCTCATTTTATGAACTTCACCACTTTTTCTCTTGACTCTCTCGGCTTGCATTTCCATTTCTTTACTTCTTAATGAGTTTATGACAATTTCAGGTGTTAAAGTACCTCTCCCGTATTTAATATCATTTTTAACTTCTCTATAGGTTTTAGGGATAGCATTTAACTAAATTATTGCCTTATACTCTTCAGATGCTTTTTCACCACAGTTAGTAATATCTTACACGAATTCATTAAAAACATCTAAATTATCATCCAAATCTTTTGAAGAATCGATTTTGAAGCTAAAAAAGCTTTCAAATAAAAAAAAGTTTGTTTGGAGTTGACTTAGACACATAAAGTTCCTCCAAATTTTTCCAAAGTTCTTGAGCTGATTTTAATTTACCAACTTTTTTTAATACTGTATCAGACAAGTGTAATATTATAAAAGTGTATGCCAATTCATCCATATTCTCTTTTTCTTCATTAGTCAAGTTTGTAGGAAAATAATCATCAATAGCTTTGGAAACTTTTTGTTGAACAAGAATACATTTCATTTTTTGTTGCCAAATTGAAAAATCTCATTTATCATTAAAAACACCCAACTCAAAGTGATGTGTTGACATTTTACCAAAAAATGCCCAGAACACAAATTTAGATATGTAAAAGTCACAGGTCACACAGATTACATGGAGTAACAAGATTCATATGGTTTCACAATATTATGTTATTCTAGAACCCCAGGGTTTCGTGAGAATTGAGTTCCCAAATCAAGGGAAGAACTAGAATATGAGTCTGGGTACAAGTCTAAAATAATACGAGATAACGCAACGATGTTCAACAAATTTATCTGATGAAAAATAAATAATTTCACTTAGAAAATTAAACAGATAATGACAAGTAATCCTAGGTTCTATCAACAAGCAATAGTTGTTAAGCAATGACAATCCACAATCCTAATGATCATCCCATACGATGATTTGTTAATGCGATAATGTAAAGTTTCAGTCAATTTACCAGAGCGGACTTGTCTGAGTCCGTAAATTACGAGAGATGCAAATTTACTGCTTTAGGACCGCAATTTTGGCCTAAAGTAATTAAGTAAATATGTGGCAATTTTTCGACTGTCGATCCACTAAAGGCAAAATCGTTCAACTTTTACTGTGTAACTTGAAACAGAAAACTTTCAACACGAAAAATGTTAGAAATAACGTGAGGAACAAACTGCTTAAAGACAACTTATCCATAATCGAAGCCAGACACCCTCACGCGCCGCGCCGGAGTTGCCATGTGCGACCGCCACGCATTAAACACCAAGCACCACCTCCACCTGCACGTCTCAACCCTGGTCTCCGTTTTACCAATGGACTTCTGGATTGATAGGAAATCTCGTTTGCAGGTGCAATTTTTTGTGCAAAAACTGGGCAGTTCGATTTTTCTGTTTTCTGTCGAGTTCTGGTCAATTTTTGGCTGGATTTTCACCACCACCAAGCTTTGATACCAATTGTGAAACAAACTCACCTATAAATCAACCAAAAGAACCGATTAATGAAGGATTTGCAAAGATTAATTTCAAGAAAGTGAAAACCAAAAACCATAAAATTCAAGAGCGATTTTTCCCTTTTTATTAGGCTCAGAAACTCAATCCACACCACAAAGGTATTTCCAATTTGAAGGTCATTATCAGTCACAAAGACAATTTCACAAAAAAGGCAGAGGAGGATTTATTTTGCATTAAGCAAGAGGATAATTTCTCTTGTTTTGGGATGAGAAGAATGAAGGATGAAGGCTCCAATTTATAGGCTTATTGGGGAGAACGGATTTTCCAGAAATCTTGCAAGATTAGGATAGAAAATCTGCAAGAGTATGTTAACCAAAAGATAGAGCTCATCCAAGACGAGATAAGGTGGTTGAAGGACGATATCGATTATATTTATCTATCTTTTTTTGTGATTTTCAAATTACCTCCAAATTGGGTATTGAGCATCTAGCTCAATGGACTGATTATCTCTAAATACCCAACATAATTGGATGACTTCAATTGTGTCGTGGATTTAATTCTTTAATCCTGGGCTTATAGTCTATGAAGTCAAAACGGGCCTCGATTTTTCATCATCGTCTAGGGGACTTGGGCATCACTTACCAAACATGCCCAACATAATTTTATATTTTTCAGATTGGGGGTTGCAATTATTTTCATGTGTAAAATGAAAACTTCCAAGAATCTCTTGTTGCAAACTCCCAAGCCTTCATAGTGTCCAAAACTGAAGCAGGAAATCGCCGGGAAAAAATGGGCATCTCATCCCGACCATGTGTGGCAGTGTAACACCCCAGTGCCATCTACACAAATTTCCCAGTTTCATATCAAACAAAATTCAGGCCATTTTTCAACTATGGAGAACCTCAATTACTGCAAATCGTTATGATCGGTGCTTAATTTAACGTTAAATATTTTAACTGAATGACCATGGGGGTAAAATTCAGAAACTTAACTGATTATTTTTGTAAAAAAGTAAATTTAGTAACTATTGACATAATTACTCAAAACTTCAATAACCAATAATGTAATTAATCCTTTTGGTGACTTAAAATGCTTTTAAATATTTTTAAATGAGACTAATATTATGGTATCGAGATAAGATGTCTGACTTCATTCGTGTGGACTATGGATTTTTTTTTTTTTTTTTTTAAAACAGCCCATCAGGCATTTATTCATAACAACCCTCACTTAAGGAATAACAACCGAATAATCAATAAAACTAACGAATAGACTAAGATCCCTTATGGCACGTTTGATGTAATGCATTAAACAATATCGCATAAGACTGAATAAGAAAAAAATAATAATTAAAATCTCATCCACTGTTTTTGTTTAGGAGATAGCAAGCAAGAGGTTAATGTGCCAATCAACATAAAAAAAAACTACAATTATCGGCTTCAAAGATCTTGCAGGAGACTTGTAACTACATTCGGAGCTTGCACAGAGAGATTGACGACTTAAGTGATCGACTACCCTAGCTTTTGGATTCAACAGACAGCGATAGTGCTCAAGCACCCATAATTAGGAGCTTACTAATGTAATGTTTGTAGCCTTTTGCATTATTTGCATCTTAATTATGAGTTAGTGTGGCTCCATAGTTCTCCTAAATAAATCATTGAAACTTTTATTTGAAATATCCACGTAACCATAGAGAGTCAGGATTGACGTGTCTTAGTTTTACGATGTTTCTAAGCTCATGGATATACCAATATTGGAAATTGGAATGTAATTTCCACTTTTAGTATTGTTTATGAGGTTTCTATTTTGTTGCTTGTATCTAAATTTTACATAAAGACATTATGAAAGACAAACATTAAAGAAAGTTCGATACTCAGAACAAAACTTCGACTTGATCTCTCAAAGGAAAGTGTTCTCAAAAGTCTCAAAAATTTGTCCCATTCAAATTACGCGGATTAAAATTACATAATAACGATCTTACTCGTGGAAGACATAAAACAATTCCGATCCAGCTGGCATATTTCAAAAATGAAAAAAAAATGTGAATATTAACAAGATATAAATAAATCAATTATGGACACAAAATTATCAATTTGGACGAGGTGACTTAATCAAAACAAAATATAAATTCTTTTACACAATTGATAAATTCAATTACTCATCGTACCCATTGTGAAAATATGTATCTTTAGAGCGGCAAAACTTGATATTTTTGAGAATTTAGTGGTACAATTGACAGAAACCTAGAGACAAGGCTGCAGTCCCTCTGACAAGGAGCTGCAAATTTTGCTTAAAAAGAATTAAAATTGCTTTAAAAGTAAGAAATTTTTCCCCAATTGAAACGAAAGGTACGTTAAAGAATTTCTTTGATTCCAAAAATAATTTTTTCACAATAATTTTTTAGTTCTTTAGTTAATTTATTCTTGATTATAGATGAGTTCTTCTTTGAATTCTTTTACTTTGTGATAATGATATCACCATTAGATGTTTTAATCGAATTTTGTAATTTTAGTTCTAGATGATGGCTGTTTAATTATTATGAAGAGAGATTATTCTGTTTCGATTAATTGATGAAATTGTGGTGAGTTCTAAACCCTAGGTCATTTATAATTTAGCTCAATTTCAATGCGAATAGCATAGTGTGGCTTTAATTGAATAAATATTTAAATAGTTAGTATTATTATAATGCTCTTCGTTTATTAATTTCTCTGGCAGAAAGTACCGTGGAAAGAAAATTAACTGTTGGACTATTATGTATATATACTTTGCTTTTAAGTCATTTTAAGTTACAGATGGAAAAGGGAAGAAGGTGAAGTAGTTACAAATATGTTTCAAAGGCCATGCGTTAATCGGCATTTTTCTCTCTATTAGTCAAACTTGAAATTATGGTTAATCAAGGATATACATAGACCAATAGTTTAATAGATTCGAAGTTGGCAATTGAATATATGGTAGAGAAATGCTATTTTAGTAGTGCAGAGTACACCATCAAATTCAGTTTCTATCTTTTCTCTGTGTAGTTTAAATTTTCCTCATATAGGTTGTAGATGTTTATGATTTTTCAGCAGTAGTCGCCTAAATCAATCAAATTAGCTCGTCTAACATTTATTGCAAAAATAGTTCCATAGGCTGAAGCCTACATAACCAAGAAATTGATTTTATGAGATGAGATCAATTGTAATGATGCAATAAATCTACTTATTCATTAATTAAATCTTCCAGAAATCACTTGACAAATGTGAGTATAAACCTCCTTACTTCTATATTCTGAAATCTGGAGAAATTATGCTCTTCCTGGAAGCTAGGTGTTACTTGTAGTATGTTTAGAACTGAGGATGCTTTGTTGTTCTAACTTGAAAACTTATAGAATTGCAAGAGCTGACCTTTCTTTTGTAGGGCGGCAGTGAAAGTTTGACTTTTTTTCACTCACTCACTTCATATTCTGGAGTCACCTTCATTTTGCTATGAAATGAATGGTTCTTTGCTTTGTTAACCAGGTATGGTTTCTTAGATAGAAATGAGCCTGGTGGTTATTCCGCAAAAGTTGCAAGTCTTTCTCTTAATGCTACTGAGAAGGATGCCTGTGATTTCTGTGCTTCTGCAGAGCAATCGAAAATGTTGAATTTCAGTGACCGTCACATGTAGTAAGATTGCATTACTTTGTTTAATTTATTATCATTTATTTGTGGCATTCACATGTAACTTAGCAAATAATTAGAAAATATTTTGACCATTGCTTCTCTGGTCCTTCTTATATCTTTATAATTGAATTCCCTTCATGAATATAGAACCAAAGCAGCTTAATAGCTTATAATTTCATTTGGGTCAGCAGCCGTACTCCTGGGCTAAAAGAAAAGTAGAAAATGACTAGAAATGTCTTCGTTTTTCTTTAAACTTTACTGTCTTATTTGCAATGTTGCAAGTCCTATCTTTTTTGGTTTTGCTAAAAATCAGATTTTTAGTAAATTTTTAAAAAAACGTTGATAAAATGTGTGGTTGAAAAGTTGATAAAAATTGTGGAGCACTTGAATTGTACGGTTAAAATTAATTATTGATTTTAACTTATATTTGTATAAACTTTTTCTTATCTAAACCAACAGTTAATTATTATTTTGTTGTTTCCCTTGGATGATGATTCTATGAACACAAAATTACAAGGACATGGATAGAAGTTTCAAGCACCCAACTTTATTACATACAAGAAAGCCCAAGTCGCATAGAGTTTCCTTGTCTTTGTTTTGGGTGGAGTGAAGGAGGGACATATTAGTGCATTGAAGATAGATTAGATTCCCTTGAGATTAACTACTGGTCCCCAGGGGCGAATCCAGGGTCCAATGCCAGCTAGAGCGGATCGTTGATCGTAGGGTGGACTGTTGACCATTGATATGTGACCGTTGACAATCAAAGATCGTAATAGCGAGTTTATTTATTAATATTTAATTAAATAATATTAAAAATTCTTCAATTTTTATGTAAATGTACCAAAACGTAAAAATTATATATATATGAAAATATAATTCAATACAACTTAAAGTACTAAAAAAATGCACGATACAACCTTACTCTGTAAATGTGAACAGTAAACTTAGACAACTGCATTATACGGGTCTCATATTTTGAAAAGTTAAAAGTTACCTTTCCATTGCAATCAGAGTTGTATATTTTGAAGATAATTGAGACAACTTTACTAAATTAATAAATTGATGAAGTATCTGTTGAGCTTTGATACCAAAGTATTGAATTTTAAACACCAAGAAAATAGAATTTTATTGATGAAATGAATTTTACACAATTTGAACACAAACTCACACTTATTTTATTTGTAGGATACCATTCTCATATTTAATTCTCACTATCCTAATTCACTCTAATTGTATAATGGCAGATTCTCTGCACTTACTCTCCTAGTCTCTCTCTGCTAACATTACTTCCACAGCTTCTTTCTATGATCCACTCTCTATCTCTCCTCACTATTCTTCCTGCTCTCTTCACAATCCCACTGTCCCACACGCTTTCACACACACACAAAAATACAAGCAGTAAGGATATATATAGATGTTAAAGGTCGGTGGTCGATTCTTCTACCTAATTCTAGTATGTTGGTGAAGGCGGCTGCATTCTGGAGTAATCCTTTGATGGCGGTGGACTTTGTTTCCAACAATTATTTACAGTTAAACACTCCGATTGGCGTCGATGGAGGTGGAGGTGGAGGTGGAGGTGGAGGCGACAACAACAATCGGGTAGAAGAAGTGGAGGATGAAGAAGGAAGGTAATCTTCTTACAGTATGTATAGATTGATGTCTTCTTCTTATGCTTTTTTTTTGTATACTCTTTTGCCTCACTTTGATGAATCACTTGGATTGTCTTCCCTAATGGTCACTTGCCTAACAGTACTATTTAGCCCCATTGATTTTGGAAAGATCCGTACATGATTTGTATATAGAAATGAAAATGTATTAAGAATTGGCTAAAACATAAAGTTTTATTCAAAGAAGAATGTCTAACAGTATAAAAAACTCTTAAACTTATTTAATTACATGAAAGTTCCAAAATAGATCTACTGTCTTTGAGGGATTAGCCTCGCAGTCTATACATCAAGGATTCTAGACAAAGAAAATTTTTCTTCAAATTTTTTTTTCCTCCTCTCCTTGTTTGAAGTTCTTTCTTTTATAGCTGATTGGAAAGATTCATTGTTTTTCTCATTGGTTCTTTTGTCATTATCAACAGTTTTTCTTTTGCCGAAAGCAAAAGTAGTGATAAAGTGATATGACAAAATTTTTGTCTTCTTTCCCTGATTTTCAAATATGCTCCCTCTTTTTAAAAAGTAGGTATCGTCTTTGTCAAAAGTTGGTATCTTTTTTCAACTTGATGGACCACATAGAGGATTTTATACTAATTGGGCTCAAGTTGAACCACTTGTGAAACATAAGCCCCACAAATACAAAAGTTTCAAAACATATACAGAAGTCCAAAGAGCCTTTTCAGACTTTCATGAAGCCAAAGGCCAAAGCATGCCATACAAACAACTTTTTGAATATGACAATATTCAATTAAAACCAAACTATTGTTCAAATCCAAGACCAAGGCCCAGATTACCAGCCCAACTCTTTCGACCACCACCAAGTGAAAACCAAAGGATTAGAATGATATCTTTCAAAGATGCAGGTGAATCCCATACAGAAAATGAATCCATACCAATTAGATTCAAAAGAATTGGAAAAATTCCAAAACCATAAGAGAGTCCAATTCTTAGTGGAATTACAATGAATGACTTTCTTCAATATGAAGAAGAAGCTCGAATTATGGGAACATCTGTTCCAGAAAAAGGATACTATGGAACAATGAAAAAGAAATTTGGACAATTCATCTTTTTTGAAGGAGCTGATCCAACAATGGTATAAACAACATTTCACTGTGGATTAATCAAGATGATAATTCTTAGTGAATCAATAGAAGAAATTAAGAAGATTGATAACAATTTGATTAAAGTCTTAAAAGATTTTAAGAAATTTGTTATTAAAGACCAGAAACTGCAGATGATGCTGAAAATTAACAGTACTATTCCGTTTTGGAATGAAGAAGGTTTCCTAATTAAAGGATACCACCATATTCAGATCAAGACAATTCCAGAAGTGATTCTGAATAAACCAATCCAATGAAATACTGAATGTGTTAATGAGCAAATACTTCATGAATGGAGAAATCTCTCTTTCCAGAGAATTTTAATAGGATTGAAGACCTTCAACAATGAATCAAAAATCAAGGTGAATTATTTTTCAGATTTTATCTTGGTTACAAGCAAAACTGGATCAACAATTCAATTGGAAGGAATAAAAATTCTTTGCTATTTTGAAAAGAATTTTTATAATTTGTCCAATACCCCCATCAAATTACCAAGGCCAATTATGCAAAGTATTAAGATAAAGTTTTGGAAAATATCACGAATGCCAATGGTTTAATACAATTGAAGAAAATGACAAAGGGAAAAATACAATACAAGATGATGGTGAGCCAAGTGGAGCATCCACCAAAAGCAAAATCCAGGAGGACCAACCAGATTAAAAATCTTGTTTTCAAAAGAGCATGTCAACTGGTTTTTGGAAAAAAGATGCCAACTTTTGACAAAGACTATACCTACTTATTAAAAAGAGGGAGCATTTTTGAAAATCAGGGAAAGAAGACAAATTTTGTTATATCATTTTATCACTACTTTTGCTTTCGGCAAAAGAAAAACTGTTGATAATGAGAAAAGAACCAATGAGGAAAAGGAGGAATATTTTCAATCGACTATAAAAGAAAGAACTTCAAACAAGGAGTAGAGGAAAAAAATTTTAAAGAAAAATTTTCTTTGTCTAGACTGCGAGGCTAATTCCTGAAAGACAGTAGATCCATTTTGGATATTTCATGTAATTAAATAAGTTTAAGAGTTCTTTATACTCTTAGACCTTTTTCTTTGAATAAAACTTTATGTTTTAGTCAATTCTTCATACATTTTCATTTCTATATATAAACCATGTACGGATCTTTCTAGAATCAATGGGGCTAAATAGTATCGTTAGGCAGGTGGCCGTTGGGGAAGACAGTCCAGATGATTCATCAAAGTGAGGCAAAGGAGTATACAGAAAAAAGCGTAAGAAGAAGCCATCAATCTATACATATTGTAAGAAGGTTATGAGTTTAAGAATTTTTAATTTATTTAAACATGATTTTCCATATGGATTTTACTGCCTGCAAAAAATTTGTATACTTTTATATTAAAATACATACTTCCGCACCCCTTTTTTTGGGTGTTTCAATTGCTACTGGTATTATTTATCCATCTCCAATTCAATTGGTTGGGCCATCTATATATATACACCAAAATTTTCATTCATCTTCTTCTTCCTCGATTCTTTCCCTTTTTCAATTGTTCCAGCTCTGCAACTTCTTGGCGGTCCCATGGCTATTGAAGACTCTGGCAGGGCCAGCATGCGTAGCCGCGCCCCCCTCGCTGGGCGCGGGCTCCACCCTTGCTAGTCTCTCCCACCCACCTTTGGTTGTGTCATTGGACTTAATAAATTCATACTCAATCTGCACTAGGGAGCACAGATACATTGCATACTCCGTTTGTATTTAGAGTCCGTATTCTAAAAAGTGTAAAACATGTCTAGATATGGAGCCTAAGTTTCAAACTTTATGAGACTAGACGAGCCTAAGCTCTAGGCGTAAAAAAGCACTTTGTTAGTTTTAATATTATTTTAAAATATTAATCATTTTAAAAATTGTTTAATAATTAAAAGAATACATACCAAACATCTAAAATTATAAAATAGTATATTTATTTAATAATTCCTACAATAATTATATAACTTCAAAATTTTCAAAATACAAAAGCTAGATTATGTTTCATAGTTTCAACTTTCAATTAAATAAGTCCTACTTGAAAATTTTCAACGTGTTTTCATTTTTGACTTTTTTACAGGTAAAGTCATTTAAAAACTTAAAACAAAAATTAAATAAATGGCTTTAAAAAATGAAAAAAATAAAAAATAATTATAAAGTGCCACTAGATGCTTATTGCCAAAGCATGGCATTTCGCCCAAGCCTCGAACCTAGGTGTCGCCAGTGGCGCAGCCAGAACCCAGCAAGGTGGCTGTTGGCTCCGCCGAAATTTACAAATGCAGTGCAGTGCAGTGTAGTTGATCTGTCATTTGTGATTGTTTATCAACCACGTGAAAGGTTTGGTATTGAATATGACTCCTTTATGTGAATTGCCAAGTCAAATGATTGTCGGTTCGACTTGACTAGTTTACACTTCTTTTATATCAGATGCTTGACCTTCCCATGAGTTTGGCATCCACAATAGGTCAGTCTATTAAGTAGGTTTGCCCTAGAGCACTTATAACCTATACTTGTAGTTTCCTTCGAATTAATGAAAGTTTATCTTACCTAATAAATGTTCTACATACATATAATTCTAACAAAAAAGCCTTCAATTATCACAAGTCCACTTCTTATTCAGCTAACTTCCAACATTTTTTTGTCTTCTATGTTCATTGTTCTTAGGATAAATTTCTTCAGTATGTTTTTTAATTTCCTTCCTATGTGGAAGCTAGCTGATGTAGGACCATTAGAGAAGCAATCGAGGGAGTATGGGAAGAAGCAAGAATGAGGGAGAAGAGAGAAGACAGGGAAAGTGGAGCAACAATGTGAATAATTTTCATTCTATCCAACTGATCTTTCAATCCAAATTACAATCGTAAATAACAAAATAATAAACTTGGGCTTGGGCCAAATCTATATACAAGCCCAATGAAACATAAGGCCTAAAATAAATAAATAGAAGATAAAATGGCCTGATGAGGATAATGTCCGCATCAACTCTCCCGAGGTAAGGGAAAATTCGACCCCGTCGAGTAGGGAAATCACAAAAGGCTGCTGTCAATCTCCCAGCGACAAACTAAGCGGTTGAGCAAACCTCTTTCGACGTCTGTAGACACGTAAGGGTGGTGGTTCGGGTAGGGAAAGATCTTGTTAACTCCTATAATGCTCCAACAAATCAGGATCAAGCTGCTGAAGTGTCTCCTTGGAAATCCAAGTACAATCAGAATCGGGATGGCTCTCCCAACGAACAACGAAGCGCTGAATGTCTCATCCTTGGTTAATATGGTCTGTGCATCTAGAATAGCTTGAATTTTATCTTTATGTGCTGCAACAGGTGGAATCGGGGCAGGAATAACATGTTTTGGATGAGGGCCTATAGATAGACATTAGCAGGGTGAAATTGGCCATTGTAAGCAACTAAGTCTTCAACATTAAAGGTAGGGTGGTAGACAAAATGTGATAGTAAGTCAATGACATATGCATTTGGACAAATATGCTTTAAAATTTTAAAAGAACAAGCACTATGAGCTTGTAATTTGGAAGCAGGCCCAGATGGATGCCGTTCTGGTCTAATTCGAATCATAACATAATCTCCAACATCAAATTCAACGTGGCGTGTGTGCAAATTAGCTCGAAATTTATATAATGCATTACTTGCTTTCAGCTGTTTATTGATCTCAATATGCAAGTCATGCAGATGTTGTGCAAAAGACTCAGTTGACACAGACACACTAGCATACGGAGACATGGGAATAAGATCTAACGGCTTCCTAGGTTTAAAACCATGAACAACCTCAAAAGAACTCATACCTATAGACCAATTCACTGGACTGTTATATGCAAGTTGGGCAGTAGGAAGAATTAAGTCCCAATTTTTAAGATTTTCCTGGACTAGACATCTTAATAGATTACAGAGACTGCGGTTAACAATTTCAGTTTGACTGTCCGTTTGTGGGTGGTTTGCAGTAGAGAATTTCAGTTTAGTGCCAACCATACTCTATAGGGTTCACAAAAAATGGCTAGTGAAACGAACATCCCTATCTAAGACAATGGTCTTAGAGAGGCCATACAACTTGACGATCTCATGAATGTATAACTTAGCAACCTTAGATGCATCGAAAGTTTTGTTATAGGGAATAAAGTGTGCCATTTTTGAGAAGCGATCTACTACAACAAAAATGGAGTCGTGTTTCTTTGGAGTACGTGACAACCATAGCATGATCCATACTAACGTCTGCCAAGGACAACTAGGGATGGGAAGAGGCGTGTAGAGACCCGTGTTCTGCCTCTTTTGCTTAGATTGCTGACAGGTGTTACATGTGCTAACTATTCTGGCCACGTCTGTCTTTAAGCTGGGCAAATAGAATTGACGTTCAATTTCATCTATGGTCTTATCATGCCCATAATGCTCGGCCAACCCGCCAGTATGGCTTTCCCTCACTATAAAGTCTCACACTGAAGTCCTCGGGATACACAACTTATTGGATCTAAAATGATAGGGCCCCTCCAAATGGAAACTATCAGTAGTGTCCAACTTCCCATTTTGCAAAGTAAGAAAAATGTTTTTGAAATCGGGACATGACTTATACTCTTCCTTAAGTCTTTCAAACCCTATGACCTTAACACTCATGATGGACAACAGGGAGATGCGACAGTTTAAAACGTCAGCTGCTCGATTTTCAACACCCTTTTTATACTTTAAGACAAAAGAATAGACCTGCAAATATTCGATCCAGCGTCTATGCCTAGAATTCAATCGTCTCTGGGAATTAAGGAAACGAAGGGCCTCATTGTCCGAAAAGAGGACAAATTCTTGGGGTAATAAGTAATTAAGCCAATAGTGCAAGGCTTGTACAATTACATACAACTCCTTATCATAAGTCGAGTACCGTTGCTTGGCATCATTTAATTTCTCACTAAAATAAGCAATAAGATGGCGTTTTTGACTTAAGACTCCATCTATTCCTACCCCTGATGCATCACATTCGACCTTAAAGACTTTGCAAAAATCTGGGAGTCGTATGATAGGAGCCTCTGTCATTCGCCTTTTGATTAACTTAAAGGCCTTAGCCGCTTCTTGCGTCCAATGAAATTCTCCTCTCTTCATACACTCTGTGATAGGAGCCATGATCGTACTAAATCGCTTGATGAAACGACGATAAAAGGTAGCTAAACCATGAAAACTCCTAACTTCATGTATATTCTTGGGGTCAGGCCAATCAACAATTGCCCGAATCTTCGTAGGATTAGCAGATACTCCCGTAGTGGAAACAATGAACTCGAGGAACACAACTCTATCAGTGAAGAAAGAACGTTTCTTCACATTGGCATACAAGCTTGTAGCACGCAGTGTAGAGTAAACTTGCGTGAGATGATCTCGATGTTGTTCCCTAGTTTTACTGTATACGAGAATGTCATCAAAGTATATGACAATGAATATGCCCATGAAAGGTCAAAGGGCCTGTGTCATCACCCTCACAAAAGTACTTGGAGCATTGCTTAGTCTAAAAGACATGACCAACCACTCGTATAGACCATCTTTCGTTTTAAATGCAGTTTTTCACTCGTCTCTTGGGCGGATCCTAATCTGATGATACCTACTCTTCAAATCAATTTCGGAAAAGATTTTGGCACCGGCCATCATATTTAGCATATCATCAAGTCGAGGGATAAGAAAACGATACTTGACAGTGATCTTATTGATAGCGTGACTATTAACGTACATCCTTCAAGAACCATCTTTTTTGGGTGTCAAAAGGGCGGGAACTGCACAATGGCTTAAACTTTCACGGATGAAGCCTTTGTGAAGGAGTTCACTCACTTATCCCTGGAGCTCGGCATGTTCAGCAGGATTCATTCTATAGTGAGGTGAATCTGGGAGAGACACACTTGGAGCTAGATCTATAGCATGTTGAATATCCCGTAAGGGAGGCAATAGATCAGGGAGGTCGTCAGGAAATACATCCTTAAATTCCTGAAGGAGTGATTGGACTTCAGTAGGGGTCGCTATTGGGGAATCGGACAGGACTTTCATAACAATCACAGCAAATACGACTGAATCATTTACGATTATCCGTTCAAATTCTGTAGGGCTAATCACATGTAATCCATTTTGATTAACTTAAAGGCCTTAGCCGCTTCCTGCGTCCAATGAAATTCTCCTCTCTTCATACACTCTGTGATAGGAGCCATGATCGTACTAAATCGCTTGATGAAACGACGATAAAGTGTGAGCCAACAAATTTTGGTGGTAAAAGATTAAGGTGAATCTTCTTTCCATTAAATACAAAGGAACATGAATTTGATCGCCCATGGCTAGTTACATCCTTATACTCAAGGAACTGGATAGACACCAAATAATGCTCTTTCACAACTATAGAAGAAGTGTCAACCCAAGAGATACTATATGGTTGGGGGTGCGGGACTGACTTTAATCTAAGACGGGACACTGTGGTCATAGAAACCGCGTTAATACAACTCCCACTGTAAACATTAATCTTACAACCTTTATCGTTAATCTTGATGCAAGTATGAAAAATAGCATAACGGCACCAATCATCGACATCCTTAGGTTGGGTAAGGGTACAACGTACAACACTCAACCTAGAGGTTTCGGGGGCCAGAGAAGCAGGACCTAGACCTATAAGAAGGGTACGAAGGCAACCTAAAAAGGTATCCTCATTATCACCCAAATCGTCAAACCCTTCAAAGTTAGGCTCATAGACTTGATCTCCTAAAGGCTCATCAACGACATCCTTTC